CCTTAGTACTGTAGGTATATGACCAATTAACTGTGTCCGTAAGAGATAATAGCTGGCATACCTAGATTGGAGGAACAGAGGTTCGGAAATTGAAACACATTCCATGGAGTTTGAGTTCATTAGTACTCAAGCGGAAATCAATTCCACCCACCTTTATTTAAAGAGAGAAACTGATAAATACATAAGACGCTCGATAATTCATATTGACAAGTTGTCAAACGGAACTTAAAATAGACAGTGGATTCAAGCATCACACAGCAACACCTAAAATGATGTCGCCAAACGACTAAAAACAACAAATTATTGAGATTCCGTACAAGACCCACTTCAAAGTCAACTGACTGACCCTATGATTACTTGACTGATGTTGCCAAGCTCTAGTGCAGTTAAGAATTAGATGACGTATTAACAAAAGATATACGAAATTTACAAAGCTCCAAACGGATTCAGAGCCGGTTAATATGCACCAAGTTGATGACTCAAATCGAGAATAATATCAATTAGTACACAGATAGTGATTTTGACAGTCAGCTGTTCCACGATTTCCAGTCATCCCGAACGGCAAGTCGATATAAGTCCTCTGAGTCTTTATGAAGTTGAAGAAGCTATGGGAAACGTGAACGGAGGTTTAGCAGCAAGACTGACTGAGAACCTAGGTGGAGTTTGGGAACTGCACATTCAGACACTCACGCTACGTCGGGTCCTAGAACAAAGACACACGTTCAGACCACAGCTCTGGTGTAAATACTTTTAACAAATAGGACAATGCACCTACTCCTTAATCCTATCATTAACCTCAGGTACGTGATAAACTGTCATAGAATTTGTGATTTTTACTCAAGTTGATCCACACTTGTTGGTGCCTTACCAGCTTATTATATAAACAGCTTTAATTTTTATGAGCTCAAACATTACGCAAATCCAAGCACTTAAACACTACCTTATGTTTTTTTAGTATGTCTACACCATGATGTATCCTAAGACTACTGAACTAAGGATAATACCATTTGTGACCGTTTGTAAAATGATCACAGTCGGATTATGAAATGAAATCGTCCATGTTTGTCCATGTTCTCAGAATAACTAAATTTAAGAGAATTCATTAATATAATAAGCTTATTATTTGATCTAGAATTGTGTATCGAGTAAAGAGCGGTTATAGCTTGGATCAGCATTCTCCTGGTAAGCTACTGAGTATCCAGTCTCTTGAACGAGTCGATGGAAGGTTCCTATTGTTGATAACTCGCTTTGAAAAACCAGTATTCCACAGCTATTTTGTTTAGCCCTGGCCTTTGGACTGACTAGCTTGGTCCTATGAGTTTTGTTGTTCTAGTAGGAAACAAAAAGAATGATTCAGATCTAAAATCATTTCACTGTACTCTTCACATTAAAATCAGTAGAACTCTTAATCTCTTGTGTGGGTGGTTTTTGATGAGCCTGTAAAGGAAGCTGCATGAGTGTTAGCACCATTCTTCAAGTGCCCTTACTAGCGAGGACGGAAATCCGTGAGGTAAAGTCAGTCAGTCATTTACAACGCAGAGCTTCGAACGTACCCACACAAATTCAGGTTACCATACACATTCGGCATACAAATACAACTGACAGTTCAAATCCCATAGTGGTAGAGATAGAAGAAATATTAGAAGTGAAGGACAAAATTAGGGTTCGAAGATATTCGGGAAATATAATGCAGTGAGATAACTCTAGAAAGAGAAAGATAGAGATGATGAGGAAAACAAAACAATTAGAATAGAAGAATAGTAGAATCTAGTGAAATAAACCTGAAAAGAAAAAGATAAAGGTGATGAGGAATTCGGAAGGTTAGGACTTGAGAGTATTCAAAGAATGAATGCACCTACGCCATTGCAAACGGTTTTGACCCAATTACTATCATCTCTCGGGCCCCAACCAGGTAGTCGACAGCTGCCAACATGACTCAGTCCATTTGTCGGTGACTTCATGGATTTCTGCCATGTTTTGGTCTGGACGCCCCTAGCTTTCGTTCAGCCTACTCCTACATCTCAAAACAAAGCTCGACGAGGCAGTCGGTGGCTAGGCATACGTAACACATGTCCCAACCAACTCAACTGATGTTTCACTGCTTCGTCTATGGACCTGCCATTCCTACGTAAGACCCGTTTCTTAACAACAGCATTGCCTATTCGGTTGTCCTACGATACTCGAACAATGCTTCCGAGACACCTATGATCGAAAACAAGCAACCTACGAATCTCCTACTCTGACTGGCCATCTCTCACAGCCATAAAGTAGGACTGAGCGAACTACTACGCACTGCACTCGTCCTTTGGTTAGCAAACGGATATCTAGTGACGCAGGTTGCCAAAAGCCAATTGATCTTTCTGTATTCGTGCTGAGATTTCGTCACACACCATGTCATCAGCACTGATGCTACTACCCATATAAGTGAAGCGGTCTACACATTCGACTACTTCACTCCCTACCACTAGTTCAGGTGCCGATACAAGCCAATCCTTAAACAACATTTCGCCTTTCGACAGGGAGAACTGCATCCCGAACATGCTTGCAATTGTTGCTTAGGGTAGTCAGAAGACTGCATTCTTGTCAGCGTCGTCACCGAATAGAACTGTCATCGGCATACGCTAAGTCAACCAATAAATCTCTTTACAGGTCTACTGCTGAAAATGTTATATCTGGAGCATTTCTATCACAAAATTAAACAAGAACGGAGAGAGTAGACATCCCTGACGGATACCACTTGAAGTAAAGAATTACGATTACAATTCGCCATAAGCTCTAACTTGACCTGTAGTGTTCGAGTAGAGAGCTTGTATAAGGTTAATGTACTTATTTGATACACCTTTTAACGACAGACACTGCCACAGAACCTCACGATCGACAGAGTCAAATGCTGCCTTAAGGTCCACGAAAACAACTATTTTAGGACGCCTAAATGTATGTCTGTGTTCCAGGACCTGTCGTAGTATGAAAATGTGGTCTATACAACCACGTCCAGGTCGCAAACCAGCCTAGTTTTCTCTAGTCTGCTCTTCACGACCTTTCGTTAGGCTCCGGTTTACTATTAAGGCCAATCGCTAAGATACTATATTTGTTAGACTTATTCCTCTGTTATTGTCACAAGTTGACTTTTGTCTTCTTTCTGCAACGAATAGGACTATGTCATCAACATATTCTAAGTCAACAAGTGTGGCTTCTGGTAGAAGATCTCCCCCAGAAAATATGTCTATAAAAGCTTATTAATGACGAAGTTGAATAGGGACAGAGACATGGGAAAGACCTGAGGAACACCTCTTGAGGTAATGAATTATGATATCTGTCACTCTTAAGCTCTCACTCGACCTTTAGTGTTCATATACTTCTCTTTCAATGACACACCGTCACACACCTGCTCTTCCCGAGCTCCATTTAGGCATCAACGTATTATCGACGCTAACATTTTCGATACTATTGAGTTTGTAGCAACTCATCATTTATTGTTTATACTTCAATGATTAGTCGTTTAAGTTATTCGATAATTGTATGTACCATAATTTTGTATTTTAATAGTTCGATTATAGTATCCATGATAGTACATTTGATTATGTGTGAATGCTTTATATCTTTTCACATGTCTAGCCTATTATTGCTTGGTTATAAATACTTAGTCATTCTTCAGCTCAGTTGCCTTCTCCCATTCACCTCGTTTCGCTTGTACGCTTTCCATTCTCACATCACTCTGCATAGACTAATGCATAGAATAAATGAATCAGAAACACCGTATTTGACTTCGTACTACCAACATTATTTGCTAGCTCATTCGTCCACACTGGAGTCTAGTTGTGAGCTGCTAAAAGCTGACAGATTCCTCTGTGATTGTCAAAACAGGACTGCTGTCCACTCTCATAAACTGGGACAATCAGTGATTTGGTACATGACACCAAATCATTGATTTAACTTTTTGAAGGACAACTAATTTAATTTTCGATACTGAGAGTAGTGACACCTCAATATTATCAACTCTACACATTTTTCCTCGATGGAAAGCGATGAAGAATTTAATACAGTTCGTATGGGCTAGCATTAAAAATACGAATTTAGTGAAATAAGGCAAAGCGAAATTGGAGACCAAACTAGACAAAACGTAGACCGAGATTCTGCATTCATCTTAGTTTGCAATGGTGCGGGGAAAGACGTACATCCCGAAATTAACATATGCATCTGATTGAGATGAATGGCGAAAAAGTGTAGTAAACTGATACCAAAAGACAGTCCAACTTCGTAACGTAGCAACCACAAGACGCGTTACTTTTTTATGTTGAACATCTTAGTCTTACGATGGACAGCCCTATCACCCTACTTCTTTGGCCAAAACTGTCATAACGCGTCAACTTAACTGAATACATCTGCAAAGCATCCAAAACCTTACTCTAACAAATTCTAGCTCCAGTCACTAGTTTATCTTAACCTCATACTGACTTTATATTCTGAGTGCTCTCTATTGGTTCCTTTATTGTTTGTTCTTTGTTCTTCCAGATAATCGCACATGCTGCTCTTAACACATCCCCATCACACAAGGTACCTCCTGGATAAACGAAAAAAACCAAAGGATGAAGTTACACATCAGTTTACTTGCTGAAATAGCGCTTCATATGCGAAAATTTGGATTTTTCTGAACTTTCCTGCCTTCTATAGACTGTATGGTTACGCGGAATAAACTTATTTGAAATGTGATCTGATGGGTATACATGACTGAGCACTTTCAGTTAGTATAATTAATGAGATTAACATCAATATCCGATGTCTGCAGAGGCATTTCGTTCGGATATGTTTACTTCTAAACAATGACATCAGTAATATTGGGTAGAAGTGATTTGGCTGTGCTATGTAAGCACACGACGTAAATTTCTTTTGGGTTCTAAATAAAATGTTTTATTTCTTCATGATATCGTATTTTTTCTTTAGAGGAGTTCTCGAAAAAGTATTCGGGAATCATTTGATGAAACAAGAAAATTATTGTTGCTCTTGGATTTTGAATTCCAGCTATCCTATGACTATAGCGTTACACCTCATGCTTCTCAGGTGGGTTGCGGTCTCGATACATGGTTTTACTCCTTTACTGTCATTTGCAAGTCCATTGATCATGATATGCATAGAAAAGTAAGCAACAAAAAAATCAGTTGCTATATAGAACGCTGTATTGAGATATATTTTTTTCCGGTCCTTTACGTTTCCTGTATTCTAGCTTACAGAATCGCCTTCGATTTGAGAGATTGTTGGTTACATGTTTAAGCCAGCGTTAAAGTCATCGCAGTATGAATGGCATGAATCTCAAAGTCTTTCAAAGTGAGGTGAGATGTATTCTTCGTCAGATATGTTTAGTCCGATTCTTATAACTCATATGAGACCATCTCAGTCTGCAACTAACAAAGTTTGACTTTCTGTCATTTATTCACTGCCTAATTCTACACTAACGACCTATTAACAATGTTCTACTTCCAAATTATCAATATATGCATCAATTTCTTAAGCACCACAGAAAAATGAGTTCTTACGTCGACTGTCTTTCTAATAACGATAATAGTTTTACAAACTAATTTAATACCTCACGAAGCGAGGAATAAACTTTATTCAAGATCTTAATGACTTCATGATCAGAGTTTCAGTATGATTAAGAAGATTATTACCCATAGTATGATGTGGCAAGGTACTGTAAAACAGTAATAACTCATTATAGAGTTAGAAAATGCCTAAGTAAATTATATTTTCTGTTGTTTCGTACAACAATCTGTTCAAATTGTCATCGACTTGACATTTTTTCTCAGATTAATTGGTACATTAATAAAATATTTGCATTCCTGTCACTAACTTGTACACAAATATAAATTATTTTGTTACATCGCTACCAATAAACTACAAGGATAAAAATACATCCATCAAATTTGCAGCTTCATGTTTACTGGTCACCCCAAATTTAACTAATGATTCTCATTTCTTTTTAGATTCGCAATGTATCAAACTACAAATCACTAGATAATTAAACCTTTGACAAAAATCTTTGTGCATAAACTAATGTTATATTTAGTAGGTTTGGGTTTAGGTTCCTTCTCAGATTTGACGATTAAAGGCTACGATGTACTGAAAAAGTGTGATTATATCTACCTTGATAGTTATACTTCCATATTCTCTGAAGAAGAGCTCAAGACATTGGATTTCAACGACAAATGCATACTTCCAGCTGATAGAGAATTCGTGGAACAAAGCAATGAGATCGTAGATCGAGCAAAAGATCATGATGTCGCGTTTCTTGTTGTAGGTGATCCTTTGGGGGCAACTACACACAGTGGTTAGTGAGAGTATGCTAATATTTTTCAGATATTATATTAAGAGCTGTTGAAAATAATATATCTTACCAAATAATTCATAATGCGTCAGTTATAACTGCAGTTGGTTGTTGTGGTTTGCAGCTTTATAATTTTGGTGCGACTGTATCGATCCCTTTGTGGGATGAATTCGGTCATCCAGAAAGCTTCTATGACAAACTGATAATGAACATAAAAAACGGACTTCATACGCTATGCTTGCTGGATATCAAGGTAAAGTAAATCTAGCTGCATATTATACCTACCTTCTCAATTGTATTTAAACACTCATGATTTCTCACCGAATTTTGAAATTACTGACTCACTTATGTAACTTGTATTAGATAATGTAGATTCTTTTTAATACTCATCGTTCGCATATGTATATCTTTCACCAGTCACGCGGGTGAACATCCCGACTTGAAAACTTCATGTAGAGACACAGATACAACATGCAGTTTCAGTGAATCTATATAGTTTCGCAACATCAAAAAGACGACAAGACGGAACCCAGCCCGTCACATTTTAGTTGTAGTCATTCAATGGTCACTCAATGATGCCTATCGTTAAGTTGCTACGTTTAGTTGAGGTAGATACTAACAAAGCGCACAGTGAGTGTACGCCGGTAATTCGATGTTAACATTTCAACTATTGCTATCTAAACTTTAGATAAACCAGATATTGTAAGTGAGGAACGCACACTAGTATAATCGGAATCAATTTTATGTAACTAATTATTCAATCGAGATCCTGTTTTACTTAGTCTCCCACACCCCATTAGGTCATTTTTGTCCTTAAGATCTTTTTGTATGACTCTATCTCCCATTTTGTCCAAAATAACTATCCAAACTTATAAAGGCAACGAATATAAAAGGTTTGACTTTGTAAGAATATGCCGGAAAGAGAGGACTGCCACTCACTCCTAGTACAGTAAATTCAATAGATGGCCAGAACAGTAGTGAACAGTTAAACTAGTTTTCTGTTACCCATCTCCAAGCAGCCTGAATGGCAAATAGTTCTAAGTCCTCTAACCTGAGTGATATCGAAAAGTTATGAACAACTTGAAGTGAGAAACGGTGGTAGGGCCCTACGTATTATCCCTTGATATTTCTAAGCATGATAGTGTGCTAATGTGTTATGGCAACTTGAATTAATGTACGTACATACGGAGTTCTTTATTGTAGCTGAATGAATGACTAAGCATATTAGTCCAGTTTCAGTAGTCAAAATAATTACTATATTAGTGAGAATTGGGAAACTGAACGTAATCCCATCTAGCTGCTGACCTTCACGGGTTATAAGGACAAATTCTCCCGTAACAATCACTAGAGAATCCGCTTAACTAAGATAATGTTCAATCATACTTTGATGCCCAACTAGGGATCATGGAGAGTAAACATGGAAAAGTAGACAGGTTAGTTCCAAAACATAGTCATATTCTCAACAATCATGATGAGCTAGTAACACGAACTCAGAAAGCCTGATTAGCCTTAACGATTTGTGTCAATCGGCGTAGACGACGTACCTAGCTATCACCGGAAAGTATCTCATACTTTGACGTGGTGGTCGTGAAAGCAGCTACTCAAGGTCCGAGGGCAAATTCGTACTACTAACGATACAGGAGTGTGACAGCAGTAAGTTGTTTCCCTCGGACAACCAGCATCTGTAGCAACGCTGCCTTCTCACAAGGAAGGAGGGGGTTAGAAAAGGTCGACCCTAAAAAATTTCACACCTCACCTTACTTCAATGATTTCCGTCTCCGACAATGAGGCCTTTTAAACAAGGGCGGAGCTAACACTTCAAAAACTTCTCATAAAAAGGCGGTGCGTGACCGACCTCGAGCAGTTGTCCCTCGGACTCCGTGGTCACGCTCTCAGGTCTCTAAGACCAACAATAATTTACTTTTTCAGGTTCCTCAAGGAACACCTTTCGACGGTGGGGGCAGCTGGGAAGTAACATGCGGCCCCATACCCGTAACCGCACACGATACCAAATTGGTCACAATCAAATCCTTCCTACAACCCCTAATATCTCTCTTATCTCCACGACAAACCCTCCTCATATCCCTTTATCATCCTGCACTACTAATGCAAACGATTTGAGTTCCCGAAACGTCATTCCTGGTCCCCTGAAACCCCTTTCTAAACTACATGTTGGAGATTTTGATGTCCGAACATTGTGTCAAATAGGACAACAGGCTTCCTTAGCTAGGACTTTGGAATTTCGCGCAATCGATTTACGCTGCGTCTCCTAAACGCACATATAGAATCCGAGTAGCGTTATTCATTTAACCTCACCATGTTGAAATAATGAACCAGCTCGATCTACTCTTCGTGCATCCAGAAGCCCTGCTGCCATTTCCCGGGGTCTCGCTGGCGTAGGTATAGCATTGAGTCATAGGGCAGAACCAACTCTCCTAGACTGGATCCCAGTAGATAGTCGCTTGTGTGCTGTCAGAATAAACGGTACGGTAAGGACTCAGAAAGATAGGGACACGCCGTTGCCTCTGCGTCGTATCTGCCTACGCTCCCACTGGCTGCAGTTCAGATAAGGTGAGAGATGAGTTTTACAGAAAGCTTTCAGACATCCTCCAAAACGTTAGGCGCTCTGATGTAGTGATAGTGACTGGTAACTTTAATGCTCAAGTCGGTAGACTCATTGAAAAAGAAAGACACCTGGGTTGATTTTATGGTGTCGTGGCTCAAAGATCAGACATTGCGATCGTCTGGTCCAGCAGCTATGCTCAAATAGTCGCCTATTTCTAGCAAACACTAACTTCAAGCATGGGGAAAAACATCTCTTGACCTGGCGACCCACACAGTCGTCCAAACGCTGGACCCAACTAGATCACATCGCCATCAGCCACCGACTGAGGGGTTCGATAGAGGACTGTCTGTCGTTCTGGGGCACATGTCTAGATTCAGATCATGCTCTAATGCGAGCGTGTATGTGTTCGCGACTTAGTGGACGTAGGAAAGACACCGCAATTAAAACTCTTAGGGTTCTATTTAATGATAGAATAGCTAAGAATATCTATCTTTCGGGAACAATTAGAAAAACAGTTAGGCGGCCATGTAAGTGATTCCCATCCCCAAGAAGCTTGGAATGATCAGTTCGACTGGCCTTCAGTGACACTTCGGCTGCCCACGATTTCCAGTCATCCCGAACGGCAAGTCGATATAAGTCCTCTGAGTCTTTATGAAGTTGAAGAAGCTATGGGAAACGTGAACGGAGGTTTAGCAGCAAGACTGACTGAGAACCTAGGTGGAGTTTGGGAACTGCACATTCAGACACTCACGCTACGTCGGGTCCTAGAACAAAGACACGTTCAGATGCCACACAAAAGTACTATTCCTCGACCCTAAAGCGGAGTTCGACTTTGTTACTTGTGAGATTCTCTGGCAGTGTGACGAAATCTCAGCACTAATACAGAAAGCTCGATTGGCTTGTGCCAACTTGCGTCACATATGGCTTGGGCGAGCTATCCGTTTGCTAACTGAAGGAGAAGTTCGTTCCGTCATATATACGGATGTGAAACATGGCCGGTGAGAGTAGACGACATTCCTTGATCGCTTGTCTTCGATGCATTGCTCGTATATGCTGGGTCAACCGAGTAAGCAATGCCGACATTAGGAAGCGAGTACTAGGTAATGACGGCAGATCAATTGAAACTTCAGCAGTTGGTGTGGCCGGTACATGTGTTACGAATGCCTAATTACCACGTCGAGCGATATTTAGTGGTGTGGGAGTAGGTGTGAAGAAAGCTAGGTGCGGCCAAACCAAAACACTGCACAAATCCATGAAGTCAGTGACACGTGTACTGAGTCATGTCGGTAGATGTAGGCTACCTGGTTGGGGGTCCACTAGATGATAGTAACAGATAATAAGAGATATTGTGTGACTGCTCAGAATCGTTTGCAATGGCGCAGGTTTATCTCTTTGTGTTCTCTTAAATTCTAATCTAAATTCTCACCTTTATCTTTCTCTTCCTAAAGTGATATCACTGAATTGTACTTTTTGAATTATATCTAGTCTAGTATTCTCTATTAACTTATTCTCTTCTACTATCTCCAACACTATGGTATTTGATCTGACAGTTGCGTCTCTATGCTAGTGCGGTATGGTAATATGAACTTATGTACGTACGTACGAAGTCCTACGTTTCAACCGACAGGCTGACCTAGCTATCGAATCAACAGGCAAGTTTGCCGCACATCAACTTACCTCGTTCTAACTAGCGTATGTAAACGTTGCTAATGAGAACAGAGAACGTTCGCGGACCATGCCTTCAAAGCAGTGTTTATGTAATTGGACGCCGACAAGCAAGCAATAACTGGGTTTTAAACGTAAAATTACAACTGTATCTGGAGCAAGCATTACATATTGCATAGCATCCGCTGTCTGCAGGTTTGGTTAGCCCAAACACGACATCAGTATCTAAAATCATTGGCAGTTGGGCTGAGTCGTACTAGCGAATGTAAAGTTAACTGGCTGGAATCTCCATCGTCCTCGTGAACACTAGTTATATTTTGGATGACTCAAATCATTCGAAAAAGGCATGGATAAATCCACTCTTAGTTCCCCTTCCTATTGTTTCGTTGATTTTTAGCCTGGTGGATCTTCTCACCGTACCCACAGGACAGACAGTTCTGTTTCCACCTCTGCTACCTAAATCTTTACCCTGCTGATTTTATCTCGCCTGTGCTAATTGAGTAGGACGACTTGCATCAAAATACGTACGTATTAAGCTGGACGAGTTCTGACTACGATTTCCTTTTCACAGAAATAACTTCAAATCTCACCTAACATAAGCGGAGGGCGTAAGACAAGCAGATCGGAGACACATAAAACTAACCTGTCAACCTCTTTCGTACTTTATCTCTTTAATAGGATTTATCTGAATGCACAGTGCAACGGACAAATATTATGGGGTTTTATATACCCTAACCAGACTACCACCACCCTCAGATTGGCATCATATCAAAGTAAATAGATTAAGATAGGACGTTTCTGATTGTTTGGTATGAGTCCTGATGACATCCTAACTTTTCACAGATCTATGGTTATCAAAATTCTTGATCCTTGGAAACGTGCCTCGGCACAAAACAATACTTATTCGACGCTCCCTGTTAGACAAAAACTATTTGACACGCTTGCGATGTTGGTAGTTTGAGACGCGCACATTTCGCACGTAAACTACTTATTAATTTGTCCAATTTTCCTCACTTTGTAGGTGAAGGAACGTTCTCTGGAAAACATACTACGCGATAGGAAGGTCTACGAGCCCCCGCGTTTTATGTCCTGTTGTGAAGCCGTATACCAAATAGTGGACATCACAGACCGACGAGGAGCAAGTCATTGTGATGCCGACAGCATAGTTCTCGCGAAGTCCGCTATTGTGATATGCCTCTCCCGGTTGGGCTCCGATAATCAAAAGATTGTTGTGTCCACGATAGGTGACATCAACGAAGCCCACTTAAAATCTGGCGGAAACAGTCTCGACATCGGAGGCCCACCACACTGCATCATTATACCCGGACTGATTCACGAGATGGAACTAGAATTTTTGCAAGCACGTTACCGAACCAATGGAAGGAACCAAAAGTTTTTACCCGTTTTCTTTACCGCGCAAGATACAGAGTGCGTGCTTGAGTCCCTCCAGAATGCAATCAAACTACACAACAAAACGATCCACTCAATGCAATGTCTTTCTTGAAAAATAAAGCTTCATCACATTTCCTGTTTACTATATGCGCTTACCAGTCTATAGAATTATTAAGTAGGTCTGCTGCACCTAACCATTACTATCCCAAGGCTACATGACTAGTGATAGACTTTTCGCCAAATACCACGCGTAAACATATTGGGTGGTCTCACATCTCGATCTAATTAAATCAGAAAGTTAAACCGCCTAAATGTCTGTCTTAAACGGGACACTCACCAATCACTAGGATACTAATTATCCTAATAGTAGTCTAAGTACATTAGGTCCGCAAGAGTCCTCGAAGCGCTTTGTTTCCGATATGACATAATTCCAAAGGGACTTCGGAAGGTGTGTGAATTTCGCGGCACGCTCGATAACAGCCAAATACGTACACCACTAGAATTAGATTAGTTTAGCAAACCGGAGTGCATCGAAGTACCGAATCGTATCTACAATACCTGCAATTATGATGCTATCTCACGCTTTGAAACATGAGGAAAAGACACTCTTGTTCAAGACTATATATATTGAATAGCAAATGTACAAATGCTGGTGTGCTGATTTCTGCAAAGAACGTACCTGTTAAGTAACTGGAAAACATAATTGTTGGACCGCAGACTGCATTCATTTAGTCCACTGACAAATTGCATCTATTGGTCATCATTTCAGAACCAAACACTGAAATAGCATACGAAAATCCGGATCTATCACACGTTGATTGAGCACTGCACTTTGACATACTAAGCCGTAGCTGGAAAGTGCTACAAACGGAACTGGTTGCATAACATGCACTCTTGCTAGGAAACTAGTTTTTTATTGAATAATTACGATGGTAGTCACGCGTACCATGTACTTTGCTGTAGATGAAGTATTATAAGAGCGACCAGTCCCCTGATTTGGAAAATGGTTTACGTTAAAACTAATCCATAACTTACGACAAATACATGGCACCTTAAATAGAAGTCCAACTAAGTAAGTCGATTACTATTATAACATGTCAGAAATAACCTTAGTACTGATTTGCCAAAATTTGGGACCTAGTGCTTAGCTTGTTACCACGACACAGAACCACATGAACCGGCCTATTTTTTTCATTGTTGGAACTTGATTGTTGTTTCAGAAGTTACTTTTAAGTACATAGACCTAGTTGCAACCAACTGTGTAACTTAAAAGGTCGTACTTAATTGTTCTCAATAGATACAATATTTGGAGTATTGTGGAGCAACAGTTGAAAGGGACTCAAACTATGAAAACCGATCAGCAATGCTTATATGGATTGTATTGGTGTACTTACCCAATGTCTAAGAAAAACCCACCTAAAACGGTAATGTAGGCAGCTTAACACTGGCAACAAATGACTGGATAAATAGCCAGTGCAGTGGGCTGCAGTCATATGCTGGTTTATCAAGGATGAGGGAAACCGTGCGACCAATAACAGAAAGGAGAATCTCAATTGATGAATCCTGCAATGCACAATGTTTCTTGCACTTTAGTTGTTTCGAACGAGAAATTTTTCGTGCCTAGTGATGTATCAACTTGGTTAACTCTACACTGTAGTACAGACTCACCTGTTTTAGAGACCAAACTTACAAACCGGCTGCGAAATCTTTACTGCTTATTGGTTACAAGTGTTAGATTTCAGCATATTTTGGAAAAACTTTCGTAACTTTACTACAGAACTGTCAGCATAAACTCGTGATTCTGAAGTGGGTTTCTACCTACAACAAAACGTATGTTGGGAGCTCGGAACAAACGATCCAAAACATTTGATTTTATACGAAAGCGATAACATGCTAACCTGCGAACACTCTTTTCAGTTGGAATATCAAGTCATGTCAACTATCCCGTCTGGATCCACATCACAATGAAATAAAACAATACTACTTACCCCTATTCCCTATGACAAAAACCTACCTTTGAACATCAAGTTATGAATGCACTGGAAGTTTTACAATCCATCTGAGCTACGTGAAGTACTCGTATATGCGATGTACGATAACTGTGATGACCTTTAAGTATCTGAATATATTCCTATTCAATCGTAAAATCACTGCTCACCTTTCTATCCAAAACAGAATTTTTCACTGAGAAACAGATGTACATCCGCGTTCCCATTATACTGGGCTGTTTAAATACAAAGACCTACCAGATATATTTCATTAGCTTGACTTACATTGTTTCCAGCACACTTTAAAAGAAAACAAGAAACGCAAAGTAAGTTTGTTTACGAGTATCAATATAGTGAAAGTTTAATGTACAACACATGACCAGTTAAAGTTCAGATCACAAGCTTTGGATAAACGTACGAACGACTGACTTGGGTTAGAACCGCAACTGTGGAATTCCAGCCCAAGGTGTTAGTTGACTTGAAGCAGGCGTTATTTGTGGTTGGATTGTAGGCAAACCGAAAGCTATAATTTAAGAGAATAAATTTTGAAAGGATTAAAATCTAAGACAAGTAACTAAAGATATTTATAAATCTAAAGTTAAAAATCGTTTGGTTTGTTCGATGAAAAAGTTCAAAGGCAACCAGTCTTAGGAAGTGGACGCATACTAGTTGAGGTAGCAAATGGATGAGGATACTCTACTTGTCATTTACAGCTCAGCTGATTCGATCTTCACCCGATATTTCGCATCTAACTCTAAAATGGCAAAGCTACCTCAAAAACGTGCGGGTAACAGTTCGGAGCTTTGAACTGAATACAGCGATGCGAACCACACCGTAATATGGGATAAAGATACCCTAAGCGAAGTAAGTTGCCTGGATCTAACCAGGTATACAGAATCCATACAAGTGGAGTATGTGTTGTGAAACTATTTCAAAGTGATAGTTTGCACTCATTGGCAAAAACGAACGCGCAGCACCTTAGTACTGTAGGTATATGACCAATTAACTGTGTCCGTAAGAGATAATAGCTGGCATACCTAGATTGGAGGAACAGAGGTTCGGAAATTGAAACACATTCCATGGAGTTTGAGTTCATTAGTACTCAAGCGGAAATCAATTCCACCCACCTTTATTTAAAGAGAGAAACTGATAAATACATAAGACGCTCGATAATTCATATTGACAAGTTGTCAAACGGAACTTAAAATAGACAGTGGATTCAAGCATCACACAGCAACACCTAAAATGATGTCGCCAAACGACTAAAAACAACAAATTATTGAGATTCCGTACAAGACCCACTTCAAAGTCAACTGACTGACCCTATGATTACTTGACTGATGTTGCCAAGCTCTAGTGCAGTTAAGAATTAGATGACGTATTAACAAAAGATATACGAAATTTACAAAGCTCCAAACGGATTCAGAGCCGGTTAATATGCACCAAGTTGATGACTCAAATCGAGAATAATATCAATTAGTACACAGATAGTGATTTTGACAGTCAGCTGTTCAAGATTCTTAGGTTGTCGAAGTAGGAGGTATCAGTGGAAACTTTCCTACATGTAACTTTACAACCAACTAGTTGAACATGTACTGCTCTCCACAACGTTTCATAAACCAACGAAAACTACTTATCACAGATCATTGCATTCATGGACGTCGATTAAATCATGGAAAGCAAATGAAGATAACATAGATGAAATGCTTACCAGGCGGGATAAATCCCGGGGTATAGGCGAATGGCATCTGTAAAGAGGCTGGAGGTGCAATCGCGGGGTACACAATCTGTGTAGGCTGTGGAGGTATAAAACTTGGGGTTGTTAATCCTAGAGTTATTGGAATTGGAGGGGGGATAATCTTTTTGGCTGCATGTTCAACAATACTTTTATAACGCGGCAGATCAGCTCTTAATTCCTCCTAAGATTGTCAAACTAAACGAAAACAAAACATACCAAAGATAAGTCATCTTCAGGATGAATTAACTCGATGACTACCCCGTTGACACCGGAGGTCGGTTTGGGCACTTTAGACACATTGGAATTCATGCTGGATGATGGAGATGAGTAGGCAGGGAAAGTGGCCTTCGGAGTGGTCGTGGGCGACTATATCGCAAAATATTATAAACTGAATATTACCTTTTCATCACTCGGAGTGGCTGGCTGGGGCGGAGCAGGAGCTGCAGGAGGAGGAGGAGGCGGTGGTGGTGGTACGTATGTCAGTGAACTACCGAGTTAGTTCGAATCAACAGAACTTACTTCATATGAGGAGGGAGACCGTGAACTAGATACACAAAATTAGAAATAATGTCAACTTACGTCCAATATGACCGAAAGGCGCCATCGGAGGACACAAGGACTGCATGAACGGTAATGCCGGATGTATAGGTGGTGGTGGATAAAATGGGACACTCTCATCTTCTTTGGACATTTTTTCGGGTGGTTCGTCTTCACCTTCTAACCCGAATTTCTGTCTTTCGTGTTCAATTAAGTCTACTTCCGGAATACCAGACATGCCGTATATATCAATTACAGTGCTGGTTCTGTTTGGTAGGGCATTTGGAATCTTATCCAGCTTTTCTTTGTGTACCTGGTGTACTAATTAACGGGATAAATTGTGACTTACTTGATTACAATGAATCGACAAACCGGGACCTGTAAACAACTTCCTGTGACAATAAGGACATTTGAAATGCTTTGCTTTTTGGTGTTGAATCAAAATCTTCTCATCGTCAAACTCGCGATTGCAATACCTATTTGTTAATCATACTATGGACGCAACATACCAACACCAAGGCTTCAGCTGCTTCCTTTTCTTGCGACCCATTCCCGACGCAACAACCTAATTGTAATACCCTCCTTCAGGCCGGAAATACCAGCTACGTCATTAGTTGTTCAATGTCAATGGTTATTTGGCTTTGATTCATATTGGAATTTTCGTACAGGAAAGCTAAAGTTTGTTTCAGTCTACTAATGCTATGTCTCTAATTGAATCTTCTTTTCCTCTGAATGAATCTGGGGAAGACAAACCATTAGTTCCTTTGTAAATGAGAGGTGTATTTGTAACTTTTTTACCTTATGGTATTGGGAGTAAAAACCTTGATCAAACACAGAGGACTGAACTCCGATATTGTGGTAGTAAACAAATTTTTGAAATAAATAGCTCTGTAGGTCTTCAACTTCGATTCTGATGGTATTAGCCTATTCGGACGCACCCAGCTAAAGGCTCTCTGTCACGCATTCACACAAGATAACTGTGGGTTAAACCGTGAAGCGCATCTCTTAGCGTTAAAATTTGCCTCCTAATCTCCTCATTCCTTACTTTCGATTTGATTTGGATTTCGGTATTGTCGATCTGAAAGGTGTTCAAAATAAAAGCGTTGTCCAACCCTGAATATAAATAACGTCCTCATCAGTAAGCCTGACATAATCAGTACACATAGTGAGACACAGTTAGACTTTTCCTTGTCATAAACTTATACAAGCCCCATAGGATTTGGGCTCTTGCCCCATACCAAACTTTCAACTCTGCCATTCTGGCTTAACGATATCGAAAGTCAGTTAAGCTACGCAGATATTGACATCAGCGAGCGCAGAGTGACAGATCCACGTGCGAATTTTTTTGCTGTAGCATAGTCATTGCCGTATGAGTTAAATAGGTGAACGACAACCAGAATGTCTATTATCGGTTTTTCAGAACCTTACAATAACATCATCAAAAGTAATTTTTAAAAGTAGGGACCTGACCGATCTCGAAAAATATCTCTTTCTAGATAGCGAGAAACAAATATTCCTACAACTTACTTGCCTACGCCTGTTACCCAAAATGGTGCATAAGCCCCCGACCAGCATTCTCCAAACTACTCTGTCCTGCGAAGTCTTTAAAATTCTATCTAACTGGTGTTCATTCTTCTCATGTCCGTCTACAATATTCGGCGTAATGTGTCTTCCAGATTTATTCTTTTCCTCTGTCTTGAGGACTTCAAGTGAGGGCTTGCCTTGTGACGCATTTGTGTGCTTTTCTCAACGTGTTCCCTGCCCGCCTCCAGCGTTTCTCCCTGATTTTTTCCTCCGGCGGAAGCTGGTGGGTTGTTGCTGAAATTATCTGGTCAGAGGATCCGGAGTATTTTGCGTAGATAACTGTTAGTTAACAACTACATCTTGTGCATGATGGCTTTCCTGGACCCCCAAGTTTCCGCCCCATACAGTGGAAACGTATTGAAAATTCTGACTTTGGTGCCGAACCGTGCCTTCACATCTGCATCAGATACACTTTGTTTATCAATGATACTGTTCAGGCAAGTAAAGGTTTCCTCATGTTCCAAAGCTTCTCTGTCAAGTTTAATGTGGCCAGAACGTGTTGTGCTGTATCTGATGGTCTCGCTTTTTTCTTTGCGTATGTTGATATCTACTGCTGCAGAGGCTGTCGCTACTCTGGTCGTCATCCACTCCATTTATTCTTGAATCTGGAGCAGAAGGGAAAAACATCTGTGAAGTCTGTATTTTCCAACAGCATCCTAGCTGTCCATTGTATTCTGTGTTTCCCTTCACATGTTGACGCCTCCATAATCCAGTCGATCACAAGCACGAAAAGGCAGGATGAGAGTTAACAACCTTGTCAGGTACGAGTCTGCACTTGGAATTAGTCAGTGAGCTGTCTACCATGATTAACTACTCAGTTTAATCCATCACAGGAATCCAGTGTGATGTTATGTATTTTCTCATGCACACCATACTGTAGAAGAAGCCTCCATAATGTCTTTCTTTCTTGTGAGTTGATTCTAAATGATGATTTCACAATGATCCTCAGTGTTTGAATTTGTTCGGTAAGCGACCGATGCTTGAAGAAACGGACCTGCAGATCTCGAAATGGGGTGTCTACGGAATTTTTATTTCAGTCTAGCAACACTGTTGTAAACATTTATTGGTACTTAAAGTAGAGTGATATTTTGAATGACTCTTACATGCTGAGATCTCCATTCTATGGTATCGTGAAGAGGTGTCCTTCAATCCAGTCTCTCATAAGTCATTCTATAGACAGCGTGGAGCATCGTTGCAGTTACTACTATATCTGTTTCAATGTCTTAGCTGGAATGTTGTCTAGTCATGCCGATTTTCTACTCTGGATTCGTCTTTCTTTCTTTTCAAGGATGCTTTGGTGATGATGTGTTCATCACATTCCCATTTTATAAGTACATTTTGTGCCCGTTTGGACAGCGTCAATGCACCTCCTTTTGTATGTGAGGTATTTACTTTTTTATGGTCGGAGTTGAATAGCATATATCCGGAAGCTGGTCATTGTTGTTCAACTTGCGTCCAATGTATTTCACTGATGACAAGCACCATCAAGTTGTATCGTTTCGTCTCTGTAGCAACTCGGGTGACTCTTCTGGTCTCCCACATTGTGCGAACATTTCCGAAGGAACTCGGATTCCATCATGAGACGCCAGAACTCTTCTAGACGAAGACCTTCCAGTTTAAATGGTTTGGATTATTTTTAGTGGTTAGCGTTTATTTTGGAGAGTTAGTTTTCTACGGGATGAGATCGCTAGCCCATGAAAACCCTTCTGCTCTGTCTATGCTGTTATCCAGTAATAACTGTAGACGTGCTACAGGCGCAGTTATAACCCCAAAAGACTCGACAAATCTTCCAAAAATTGCAGGAAACCCTTTGGTTTCCGTAGCTCTAAGTCTTCCGTCACAAGCACTCCCGGAACCCTTTCCAATCAGTTAATGACAACCGTTGCTATTATTCTGTAGTGGAACGCTTCTACGATATGTGAAAAATAAACATTACTGTACTCGTTTTGTTTAACTGTACCAAAAACACTTCTTCTTCCTAAGCGCAACGTTCTCTTCGCGCTGCCTCCATTTTTCTTAACTTGCTGCTCCCAATGTAATGCCTACTTTCACCTTCAATAAAATATTGAAACATCGACATATTTTGATATATGTGACGGGATAGTATGGAACATTCAGTGGTGATCACAGTCAATCTGGAATCTCTCACCACTAAAATTCTTTACACAGAAAAATTCTCATCACTGACTGCGAGGTCACATTTACCGTAATGTGAGTTTAAGCAAACGCCTTCAGTGAAATTTAACTGACTTAGATTTTTCAGTGCTAGCCGTTGATGTAGAATTGCTACAACACCAAACCTTACTCGTTCACTCAAGCAAACGGAGGTTTGAAGATGGTTATACTGAATTTTCTGTTTGTAGAATTCCATTCATTGACTATAGGTTACCTCAGTCTGTGATTAAACATAGAGTCGATCCACTCTTTCAGCCAATACTCGAAAGTCAACATAGACTTTACTAAACACGAGCACAATTACGGCGTTTAACTATCAATAATACAAATCATACCACTACTGCAGAACCACCTGTGTTTTCACAAGTTTGATGACCAGCTGCTCACAAAGTAAGAGTTCTCGAAAACTGGATTGGAGCAGATGAGGGATATAGACATTATCCGACCAACAAACGACCCATGTCAACGCCCCTGATTTCAGTCCTTATAAAGGATGACAACTATTAGCATTCAGACGGTTTTTGTCGTCGACTGTGTAGTAAAGCACACCGGATAGTTAGCCGATGCCTCGCATTCAGGAATCGACAACTACATTGAAAGGTAAGACTGTCCATTCGAAAATCAACCTAGTCAATCGAACCATTTGGCACCGGAATGCATTCCGCTAACGGCCTTCATCACTAGGATTCAGTGCTGATGATGTTGTTCAGAAGAACGGTGAAAGCTTCACAACCCAAAACATCTAGCTCAGAGAAGGAAACGCCACCACGGCCATCATCACTCCATTTAGGCTCGGTGAATTTCCACTTATGAGGTTTGGTTTAGTAAATGCTTACTAACCTACTTTCGCCTGTTACCAGGAACGTTGCGCAGGCAGCCGATCAGTATTCTCAACGTACTCTGTTCTGAGCTTGCCTTTCCAGTCCTGTTCAACTTTTGCCCATCTTCTAATGTCTGTCTCCATTTCTCAGAGTAATACATTTCTTGGCCTTCATCTTTTCCGTTGTACTTGAGCATTTCAAATGAGAGCTTGCCTCATGACACAGTTGGGTGATTACTGAAATGTGTGTCCTATCCAATTCAAGCACTTTTCCCTGGAATCTGGTTTGTTCTTTTCCACAACAGGTTATTGCTGATGCTGTCCGGTCAGCGAATTCTAAGTATTTCGCGAAGCCAACTATTAGTGCATACCTGTATCTTCTGGATGATGGCTTTCGTAATTTTCCAAGTTTCCGCCCCATACGGTAGAAATATTTTTTGTTGGCTGATATTTGTTTGGAGTTCCAGATGTAGTTCAATTGTGGAAATGCAGCACTTGCTCTGCCGATCGGAGCCCCCACGTATGCATCGGATCCACCTTGCTCGTCAATAATGCTGCCCAGATATGTAAAAGATATAACGTCCTCCATCAAAAGTGATTCGGTCTGTGCATGTTGTGTTGTATCGGAGAATCTTGCATTTCCCTTTGTGTATGTTGAAACCTGTTACTGCTGAGGCTGCTACTATACTGGTCGTCTTCTCTTTCATTTGTTGTTGCGTGTGCGATAGGAGAGCCGCATCATCTGCGAAGTCTAGCTGAATCCTGGCTGTCAATCCAGATCTTAACGTCTTCATAATCCAGTCGATCACCAGGCGAAAGAGAAAGGGTGAGAGTAAGCAACCTTACCTGACGCCAGTCTTCACTTGGAACGAGTTTGTCAACTGTCCTCTGTGTAAGATTTCACAGTTTAATCCGTCAGAAGAATCCCGTATGATACTATCTTCTCAGGCTCGCCTTAATGTCAAAGAAGCTTCCATAGTGTTGTCCTGTTCACGCCATCAAATGCTTTCTCGTAGTCAATGAAGTCCATTTAGAGTAATG